CTGTAATATATCAAACACGAGAGACAGTGTTTCATTGGGATATCCAAACACCGAGAAGAGAGTTGAAAATACGACACACAGCGGAGTATTTTTGACGACATTCGAGGTGTCTGGATAGCCAATGAAACACTGTCTCGAGTGTTTGGTATAATTATCTTCTCAATCGAAACGAAAACTAAGGAGTCAATGGAGAATTAAAATCGTCAAAATCTATGCCAATAAAGACAGGGTATCCAAACCTCCTTCACGGTGATTTTCTTTGTTTTAACTTGATGAATAATTAATGAGTTTGGGAAGTTTCTTTCTTATCACATGAACATAGAACCCTGGCATAACTTTCTAAGTTTCAGACCAGAAACTGGTATAATTGTTTAAATTGACAATGTTTTGAAAAGGTACTCTGATATATTCCTCACAAATTATGCTGATTAGCAAAATTTGTTCTTTGAACATTAGTTAAAATGTCTACAAGACAATCAATACAATACAATCCTTTATTTACCCACGCAACATAAAAACTTGTTAAAACGTGCCTGCTAAAAAACGGAATTTCTGTTGCTTTGTATAAAGCCACAGGCATTGGGCTGAAAGCTGTTTCATGGATATGAAGTGGTATAATTGTTTTTTTGTTACTGTCAACATCTTTGAGTGGCAGTAACAGGTTATATACATTTCGTACATGTACATTTAGTAGTAACATAAGTGCTTAAGTTATTGTTTTGTTGAATGCTCTGCCTTTCAACAACATGTGGACTCTAAAATTCAAATCTCAACTGACAAATCCGTTTTTTGCTACGGTCAATCAAATGTTCAGCAGCTCCTCCCAGCTTCCAACTACTGCCGAGCTTTGTTTCGTTGTCTGAACTGCATGTGCTCAACGATTTGATTACCACAAGCTCAGCAGTAGTTGGAAGCTGGAAGGAGCCGCAGAACATTTGATTGTCGGTTAAACTTTGAATTTTAGAGTCCGCATGTTATTGAAAGGCGCAGTAACTATGTAGGTAGGGAATGGCTTTTGGGTGAAGGAATAGTGGTGTGGTATCATGATTTGCCCCCCCCCCCCCC